TTTTTGCATTATTTCGACCTCTAGAGGAGAAATTTTCTATTGTTCATATTTTGCTTTTGATTTGTCTTTATTCTCTTGTGATTTTATGTGCTTTGCTTATTATTATTATTAAACTTGGGCTATTCTGTTATCTTAGTTTTTCACCTTAAATTTTTTATTCTTGTTTTTCTGAGAAATTTTACTGATTAGACCCTCTGGTGGCACAGGGGCCAAGCGCCAACTGAAAGACCAGGGCCTGCACTACCAGCCACTCCATGGGACAAAAATTCAGTAGCCAGCCTCTGCTAAGACTCACAGTTTTGGGCACTCCACTGGGCTACTCCATTTAGCCTCATACGGGAGCTCTGGTAGCGTAGTGCCTAAGGCACTTGACTGCTAACCAGAAAGCTGGCAGTTCAAACCCATCAGCCACTCCTCGGAAGAAAGGTTGGACAATCTACTTCTGTATTGATACTGCCTCAGAAACCTAAGGAGGGGTCGCTATGAGTCAGATCCAACTCAACAGCACATAATAACAACAACAACAACAAGGTTACTGTAAGTCAGAATTGAGACAGCAGCAGCAAGCTTGGTATCTTCTCATGAGAACCACTAGAGGGCACTCTTATCCTTAGGATGTTTTTCAATGCTAATTCAGGAGTTCTGGATGCTTGATCTCTGGAATTCAATACACATGCATTGGAGAGGGTGGTTTAGAGATTCATAGACACTATGTAAGCAGTGGGGCTTGACTTTCCTGTAGCAAAGGTAGGGGTTTTTCTCTGCCTTTCCTGTGCCCCTGCCATGTTAATGCCCACCCACCATGTGAGTTTTCCCTCTCTGTCACCCCATCAATCTGAAGTAGTCTCCTCACCCAGCTGCCTTTGCTGTTCCTCTCGGTCCTAGTGCCTGTCATCTCAGGCCTCAGTGAGATTCACTACCACTCTTTTGCAGCACCACGGTCTCCCTTCATCCCCTACTAATTGTGCAGCCAACAAACTCCTACAGTAGCCTTAAAAAAGTCAGGCTACAGCTTCCTCAGATTAACTCCTTCTCTGGGTTCCCTGTTTGAGCTGTTGCCTAACCCCATCCCAAGATGGCTATGAGGAGGGAGCACTCCTGATGTTAGCAGGTAGGTTGTCCCTGCATCTGAGCCATCCTTGCTGCTTCTCCCCCACTTCTGAACTCACCTCAACTCTGCAGCATGTCAGCTGCTGTCTGGAGTTCTGAGGTCTCAGTCTGTAGTTGTATTTGTTTCTATGAGTTAGTCACTGGGGGAGTCAATGGGAACTGCCACTTACTCTGCCATCTTGTTCTGCATTCTCACTCTAATAAAGTGTATATGTGAGAGAGAGACAGAGTGACGTCTCATGGGAGTAAATAAAGAATATTTAAATTCAACGATTTTGGGTTGGATTCTCTAGTGTCATACAAAAATATGACATTCTAAATGAGTTGAACAATATTTAAGTCTACTTAGCTATAAGAATCCTAACAGTTACAGTGATGCTTCTATAATAGAATAATTGTGGTATTCTTTAAGGCCTATACACTTAATTTTTTTTTCATTAAATGAAGAATGCAAAATTAAATCTTGATTAGAGGTATTAATAAAGAAGAAACATAGTCAAGATTATTAAACACCAGTAATACCAATATATGCATATATGTATATATGTAAATATATAAATATATAATGCTTTATATGTAAACTTTTTCATTTTCCATGCTAGATTTACTTTTGTGATTGTATTTTGTTAAAATGAATATTCCATTCCATAAATACACAAAGTTATAATTTTATATGATAGAAAATCAGTGGTCTAGGGGTTCTAAGGGAGCGCTGGTAGCGTAGTGCCTAAGGCACTTGACTGCTAACCAGAAGGCTGGCGGTTTAAACTCACCAGCCACTCCTTGGAAGGGAGTTTGGGCAATCGACTTCGATAGTGATACCACCTTGGAAACCCAAGGAGGGGTTGCTATGAGTCAGGGCCTACTCGAGGGCATATAACAACAACACAGCACGGGTTCTAAGAACTGTATTGAGACCCAGCTCTGCCTCTGTCTAGCTCTGTGAGAAAATAGAAATAGCAGTCACATCTTAAGAGGAGAGTTGATTCTAAAGTTAGTAGATAAGTTTTAAAAAAAAAAACCTGTATGCAGTCAAAATATCCTTGAAAATTCCTGATACCCTGAATGATGCAGAAGAGATAGATAGAGACTGCAGTGATGTCTTCATACTAAGAAAAATTTAGTCAACAATGATTATTTTCATGCTGTTTCAGCATCTTTTGGATTAAAAAAGAAATTCTTAGGTGTATATGAAAGTACTGAAAGACCCAGTACATCCAATCCAAGCCAATATTATTGGGCTTCCTTAATGTAAATGTTAGGTTTTGTTTCCTTTTCTTTTCTTCACTGGCTCTTCACTTCAATTTCAGCAGTGGTAAGCTTGAAATAACAGGAGCTCAACTTGGATTTGAAGCAAAATGATTTTGTTACCAGGGCTACCAGGAGTACCTTATATTATTATTGTGAGGCTCCAGTGTGTGAATGCTGATTTGAATAATATTTGAAACTATGCCCTGTTTACTTTCTATATCAAGATCACTGTTAATCTCAAATAACTCACCATAAATATGTAAAGCCTTTGTTCTCATCTTCAAATTAGTTAACGAGTTAAATTCATCCTGCTTAAATTAAACAGTACAATCCTGTGAATAGTCTACATCTAATTAACTTGAGGGTGGGGCTTAAATCAAAAATAGTAGTATTTCATGTTGAAATTAAATTTTAATTCTAAATCTATATTGCACTTGCCATTCTTACTTTCCATCCACTGGAATTCAGTCCTTAGTCTTCTCCTTTCCTCCTTCTACAAGTCACCCTGAGCCATCCTCCCCACTCCCATAGGTTCTACCACCTATCAACGAATAGCTCACAAATCACTAGTCCTCATGTTTCTGCTGAGTCTCAGACCTCTGTTGCCACCTTCTTCATGTTCCTCTATGTACCTTACCCAAATAGAAACCCTACCCTTCTCATGTGTCCATTTGCCCCAATTTGCCCGCACTCATCCCAGTCTACAGTGTTACTCAAGCATCCCTTTGGTTGATGCCTCCTTTCTCTACAAAAGCACTGTACTTGAACAATATATTGCCAGGTTTGGGTACCTGACCCCACACCACACATGCATCCCAGTCTGAATCATCATCTCTCTGTCCTCTGTTCCCTGTAGAGATCAGTGATACAATCACTTAACAGAGAAGTGCTATCAAGAATCCTAGGCACCAAGGAGACTCCTACTATCTGTTCAAGCATCTAATTGCAGAGTATTGGTGTTCCTGTCCAGTCATTTCTACTCCCTCAATATAATTATCCCCTTGCCATCTAGGCATTATGAAAGACATTTTGAGACTAGGTTCCAATCCCATTTCAGTCTCTCATATGATCATAGGCAAGTCACTCAACCTCTATGAGTCTCAGTTTCCTCACGTATAAATGGATGAGAGGGAGAAAAATGGAAATTTTTTCCATGAATGCATACATGAGAAGTACAAATTAACACACCACTTATTAAAAGTTTTATGACTATTAGCTGCAATTCCAGCTAGCTGCCAGTGAGTTGATCCCATCTCGTGGAGATCCTGTGTGTGTCAGAGACCTGAGCTCCATTCTGTAGGGTTTTCAGTGGCTGATTTTTCAGAAGTAGATTGCCAGGCCTTTCTTCCATGGAACTTCTGAGTGGTAATGAACCTCCAACCTTTTGTTAGTGGCCAAGTACGTTAATGTTTTGCACCACTCAAGGACTCCAGCTAAAATTCAAATCCTGCCCTGTTTCACTTAGATTACTGCAGTTGCCTCCTGCCAGTCTGAAGTCTTCCTTCCAAATTCACTACCTTCAAAAGTAGACTACACTGGTATGATTCTAAAATACCTGCTTCTGTCAGTCCCTGATGAAAATGATTCAGTGATTCTCCATAATCATTGAGACAAAATCCAAGCTTCTTAACAGAGCCATGAGGTCTTTGATGGTCTACTGCTGTCTTCTCTGACTTCATCTCTCACCAGCCCCTAGCATCTGCTGTGCTCTGCAGTACGGAATAGCATCCCAGTCTTTCATCTGACCTCTCTTTACCTGACTTTCCTTGGGCTGTCCTTTTGATTGAGATGACCTAACACCTCTTCTCTCCATCTGACTATCTGAATTTCATTCTTCATAACTCAGCTCTGCCATGTCATATTCTTCCCTATAAACCCTCTAACCTCCTGCTCCCACCAGCCGCCCCCCATCAGCTTAATTAGTGTCTCTTTAGTGCATGCCAAAGCACCTCAGATACTTCTATCAAAGTAGTCAACTCGCTCCAATGTAATTATCTGACCACCTATTTGTCAATTCTTGGGGAAATAAGTTCCTTAAGGACAGCTGTATAATCTTTCATTTTGTTATACACCAAAACCAGTTTAGGGTCTGGACATTGTAGACACTCTATAATTAATTTATTAAACAAATGATGTCAAGGGTTGACCTCAGGACTAACTTTAGTTCAGCCATTAAGTCTTCACCTTTAAACCAACCACCTAAACCAATTTATACTAATTTTTATAAATGTGGATTTTTTTTCTAAATCATAAATAAAATGTCTGTATCTTTTGTGCTTTTGATTCTGGAAGTTAGTAACAATTTCTAAAGATTCTGTGAAGAGTTAAATTGTTAACTCAATTTAAGAGTTGAGTATAACATTTCTTTAAAAGCCTAGTCCTGTCCTGTAGAACAGCACCCGTGGCTGTACACATCAGTGTTTAATTGCCTAATTCTGAACCTGATCTCAGACTTCAAGGAAAATTGAACTAAATCTGCTTTGCCCATCCAAAAAAAAAAAAAAAAACCTCACTGCCATCCAGTCGATTCCACTCATAGCGACCCCTCCGTGGGTTTCCAAGGCGGAATCTCTACAGAAGTAGATGGCCCAATCTTCAAATGCACGACACCTAACACGTCCCTGTGTTTTTGCCTGCAGAGGATATATTCCCTTGCAAGTCTTGTGGCATCTGGTACCGGAGTGAGCGGAATCTGCAAGCCCATTTAATGTACTATTGTAGTGGGAGGCAAAGAGAAGCTGTTCCAGTGTCAGAAGAAAATGAAGATAGTGCTCATCAGATTTCCAGCCTCTGCCCCTTCCCACAATGCACCAAGAGCTTTTCAAATGCTCGTGCACTGGAAATGCACCTGAATTCACACAGCGGTAAGTGCTTGTTTCTTCCGTTGCTCCTGGAGACTAATTTTTCTAAACAGTCATGTATAGACATACATACAAGCATACATCTACATCTCTCTATGTAAATATGCAATTTTTTAAAATCAAATTTCCTGAATCAGCTGCTGTTATGTGAGTTATAATTAGGAAATTCTATTCACTGGGGCCCTAACAACAGTGATCAGACTGCAGGCCAATTCTTGCTATTTTTTCAACTGAGGAAAAATAGCATCGTGTTTAGAAGAAAAGCTGTAGTGTCCTTTGTACATCGTCATCAGTAGTCGCTGATTTAAGAGTGAAGTAATCTTTGGAAACTTAACCACAGTGTTTCCCACGCTGTAGGTAAGAAATAGTAAGGACATAAAAATAATTATCTGCTGAATTGAAACAAAGCTGTCATTTGAGTAGATCCAATTAAAATCAGTCTTGAGAGAAAATAACTTTTAAGTATAGAGCTATATATGTTCTTGACTTCCAAAGTGTGCAGCATATCCAGTAGTTGGTTCTTATGACATAAACTACTCTTAGTACTAAAACCAAAAACCAAACTCATTGCCATTGAGTCAATTCAAACTCATAACAACCCCCATTAGGTTCCCAAGGCTATAAATCTTTATGGAGCAGAGTGACTCATCTTTCTTCCACAGAGTGACTGGTGGGTTTGAACTACCGATCTTTTGGTTAGCAGTCAAATGCCATAACCACTATATCACAACTATGTTTTAGAATTCTTGAAGAAAAATTAAACTACAAACAAATAAACTTTCTTTCTTTCTTTTTTTAAGCCCATTCTTAATAGCAAGGTGGTAAATATTCCCACTTACTTTCAAGTTGTAGGTCCAACTATTTTAAGTTTCATTACATGGCATCTTAATTTCCATAGTTCTTTTGAAAATTGAAGTTAATCAAATTACTCAGTTACACTAACTTTAAATATTTTTAAATACATTCTTGCATGGGGAAAAGCAGGACTTGGAATCACTCTTTTCAGCAGCTACAATAGAAAACTTGAAGGACATCTCTGGGTGACTTCCTTAGCTGGTTTTGCCCAGATTAAATCAGCAAAAACTTAAACAGATGATGTTTTAAAAAATTCCTTTGTAAACGAGGTCCAGTCATCCAAGGCACTAGTACAGTGCAAGGTTTTGTCTTTGAACTTACGAACTTTGAACTTGAAAATAGGCATCTGCTCCTTCTCTTCCTTTTCCCTACAAATGATCTGCCTTCATGTAAGTGCTAAAGCTGGGGGAGCAGGTTGGCTGTACTGGATGGTGAGCAAAGTCAAGCAGAAAGCAAAAAGGACAGAGATGGAGGGGTCCTTTCAGTGAAATGGAGAAATGAGTATTGGATTAGTTGAGGAGAAAAGGACACAGTCCCTTATCGCTATAGGAATGGGTAGCTCTGCCATATGTTCAGCTGAGGAATATAAAAGGCAATTCTCCTTTTAGTCTAGATTGCAGAGGGGAGCACAAAAAATGATGTAACCATATGGCAACAGATGGGAACCAACCTTGACCTTAACGATGCTTACACACCACAGTCAATGGTGATATTCAACATATGTAATAACAGAAACCAAAAATGAACAGGCAGCATGGATGCTGGTCCAAAACAATTGTATTAGTATACTGATATCAGCCCTGGATAGAGGCAAGCCAGGTTCAGAAAAACCAATGAATAAACTTCTAGATTCATACCAAAGATAAATCAGGAGGTTATTAATTGCTTTACAAAATGGCTTCTGTTTGAATTATTTTAAATAAAGACCTTAACTCCAGAAACAAACCAAACCCACTGCCATCAAGTCAATTCCAACACATGGCAACCCCCATTGGGTCTCCAAGGCTATAAATCTTTATGAAAGTAGATTGCCTCATCTTCCTCCCACGGAGCAGCTGGTGGGTTTGAATCACCAACCTTCTGGTTAACAGGATAATGCCTTACCCACTACAACACCAGAACTCCCTAAAGACCTTAACTAATGCACTAAAGATTATGTGATTTGTCCACAAGTCCTCAAGAGGAACTCTAATGAAAGTCCACTTTTTTCCTAATATAGAGCCTAATGTAATAGGAAAATAATTGGCTTAGAAATGATGAAATCTGAGGTTTTGATGTGGTTTCATCACTTAATAACTCTATTACTATCTTCAATTTCCTTGGACTCTTTGAGTTTGTTCCCTGAAATGTAAAATGAGGACAGTGGCACCCATCCTACTGTGATGGGGTATTAGATAAGAAAGTGCTTTGGAAACTATAAAATGCTACAACTATTATCATGCATGATAAAACATATCACAAGAAACAAGTTAATACCACGAATGAGATATTGGAAATTTTCAATTCATACCTGCTGGGCTGAAGACATCAGGTCATTAGAAAAGGTTGTTGCCATTAGGGAATCAGCACATGTGTTTCTGAGCACTGTTATTTTGTGTGTCTCTGCAGGAGTGAAAATGGAAGAATTTCTCCCCCCTGGTGCGAGTCTAAAATGCACCGTTTGTAGCTACACTGCTGACTCTGTGATCAACTTTCACCAACACCTGTTCTCCCATCTCACTCAAGCTGCCTTCCGATGTAATCACTGCCACTTTGGCTTCCAGACTCAGAGGGAGTTACTGCAACACCAGGAGCTCCATGTCCCTGGCAGCAAACTTCCCAGAGAAAGTGACATGGAACACTCTCCAAGTGGAACTGAAGACAGCTTACAGCCACCCGCGGACTTGCTGACCAGAAGTGAAGTTCCCCAGAGCCAAAAGTCCATGCAGACTAAAGATGCCAGCTCTGACACAGAGCTAGACAAGTGTGAGAAAAAGACTCAGCTGTTTTTTACCAGCCAGAAACCGGAGATACAGCCTACAGCAAATAAACAAAGTTTTTCTTATACGAAAATAAAGTCTGAGCCCTCTAGCCCAAGACTTGCCTCTTCTCCGGTTCAGCCTGGTATTGGACCTCCTTTCCCTGTGGGCCCTTTCCTATCTCAGTTTGCTTTTCCCCAAGATATCACCATGGTCCCTCAAGCTTCAGAGATCTTAGCCAAGATGTCTGAACTGGTCCATCGGCGACTTAGGCATGGAAGTAGTAGCTACCCTCCTGTAATTTATAGCCCCTTGATGCCCAAGGGTGCTACTTGTTTTGAGTGTAACATAACATTCAACAATTTGGATAACTATCTAGTGCACAAAAAACATTATTGCAGCAGCCGATGGCAGCAGATGGCCAAATCCCCAGAATTCCCTGGTGTTTCAGAAAAGATGTCTGAGGCTGTGAGTCCCAACACTGGCCAAACCCCCATAAACCTTCTTAACCCAGCTGCTCATGCTGCCGACCCTGAAAATCCACTTCTTCAAACAGCCTGCATCAATTCTTCTTCTGTTTTAGATTTAATTGGGCCAAACGGAAAGGGCCACGACAAGGACTTTTCCACTCAAGCAAAGAAGCTCTCCACCTCCAATAACAGTGATGATAAAATTAATGGAAAACCTGTTGATGTGAAAAATCCCAGTGTCCCCCTAGTGGATGGGGAAAGTGACCCAAATAAGACTACCTGTGAAGCTTGCAACATTACCTTCAGCCGGCATGAAACATATATGGTCCACAAACAGTATTATTGTGCTACACGTCACGATCCCCCGCTAAAAAGGTCTGCTTCCAACAAAGTGCCTGCCATGCAGAGAACCATGCGCACACGCAAGCGAAGAAAGATGTATGAGATGTGCCTGCCTGAACAGGAACAAAGGCCTCCGCTGGTCCAACAGAGATTTCTTGATGTAGCCAACCTCAGCAATCCTTGTACCTCCACTCAAGAATCCACAGAAGCACTGGGAGAGTGCTACCACCCAAGATGTGATATCTTCCCAGGAATTGTCTCCAAGCACTTGGAAACTTCTCTGACGATCAACAAGTGTGTTCCAGTTTCCAAGTGTGAGACTACTCATTCCAGTGTTTCCTGCCTAGAGATGGACGTGCCCATAGATCTCAGCAAAAAGTGTTTATCCCAGTCTGAACGGACGACCACGTCACCCAAAAGGCTGCTGGACTACCATGAGTGCACCGTGTGTAAGATCAGTTTCAATAAGGTAGAAAACTACTTGGCCCACAAGCAGAATTTTTGCCCAGTCACTGCACATCAGCGCAACGACCTTGGCCAACTTGATGGCAAAGTGTTTGCGAATCCAGAAAGTGAACGAAACAGTCCTGACGTCAGCTACGAGAGAAGCATCATAAAATGTGAGAAAAATGGAAATCTGAAGCAGCCTTCCCCCAACGGAAACTTATTTTCATCCCACTTAGCAACGCTGCAGGGCCTGAAAGTGTTCAGTGAAGCTGCACAACTCATCGCTACAAAAGAAGAAAACAAACATTTGTTTCTTCCGCAATGCCTTTACCCTGGAGCAATAAGGAAAGCAAAAGGAGCCGACCAGCTTTCTCCGTATTATGGAATAAAGCCAAGTGATTATATTTCTGGTTCTCTGGTCATTCATAACACTGACCTAGATCAAAGCACAAACACCGAAAATGAATCTCCCAAAGGCCAGGCTTCCTCAAATGGGTGTGCTGTGCAGAAGAAAGACTCTTTGCCACTGTTGCCCAAAAATAGAGGCATGGTCATAGTTAATGGTGGACTGAAACAAGATGAGAGGCCTGCCACCAACCCACAGCAAGAGAACATTTCCCAGAATCCTCAGCATGAAGACGGGCACAAATCTCCCTCGAGGATCTCTGAGAACCCGTTAGCTGCCAATGAGAACGTCTCCCCGGGAATTCCCTCAGCAGAGGAACAGTTGTCTAGTATAGCAAAAGGTGTGAATGGCTCCACCCAAGCTCCAACCAGTGGGAAATACTGCCGGCTGTGTGATATCCAGTTCAACAACCTTTCAAACTTTATAACTCACAAGAAGTTTTATTGCTCGTCACATGCAGCAGAACATGTCAAATGAAAGAGCTAAATAAATAAACAACAGTCACCTTTGGTACCAGTGTTTAATATGTTGTTCTACCCGGTCCAGAAAAAAAGCAAAAGCTGTTTGAATTACATCTGGGCAATCAGGAGATAATTCATTATGGCTGAGTTGAGGACTTAAGGTGTAATTTCATTACAGTTCATTAGTAAAGTGTATTATGGGTGCCATTTTCAAAAAAAAAAAAAAAGAATTAATTTATTTTACCAGCAGTATTCATAGCTGTGGTTATGTTATTTTTATTTAAAAACTTTATATTAAAGTCATTTGTAATGTTATTGTATAGTTATTGTGTAGCACATATGGTTTGCACTGTATAGTAGCTTTTAAAGAAAATAGTCACAAACAATACAGAAAAGCATTTTAGAAATAGCTTCAAAAGCACTTGTGTATCTTGATTTTTTTCTTATATGCTGTTGCAGATATATGTATATGCTAAAATATAACTTGCAAAGATGTTCTCAATACACATCCTGTAAGTTCGCCTTAAGATTTCAATTCTTGGATAATCAGGCTCCATTTGCACTTTATATTTTAGCAGATACCGTTTCTTAGTCACTAGGCTTTGCATTTGTATGTAGCAGTATGTTTCTGTCCATTTCTTAATCTAAACATGTATGTTAAATGAAGATGGCAATTTTTTTCTTGTATAGTACTTGTATTTTCTTTCGCTGATGCAACTCTCGATTTTTAAACCTTTGCTGTTAAATGCAATACTTTATAAAGAATGAACAAAATTACTGGAAGCAGTATTGTAAGTAATGAGGTAGTATTAATCAGTTTTATCTTTTGAAAGGCACAGTCTAAATCAAAACCCTAAATTCAATGCTGCAAGTATGAATTTAATTCATATATAAGATCTATTTAAATATAAGAGTAGCAATACTGCACCTGGTGATCACGAAGATAATGTTCTACTTCTGATAGAAATAATTTCTCAACAAATGTTGTTACTATGCATGTATATGGATGGAATAAAATTCCAGATTGTTGGAGAAGTTTGGCATACTTTTTTTTTTCTCTATAAAATATAAGGGAAACTATCTACCTGTTCCTTGAGATGAGAATGGGTTCCAAACAGCAGTGAGTAGCTGTAGTAATAAGATGACAAACCAGTAAAGGACAGACTTCCTTTTAGATATACCTAAGTAATATAACTTATTCTATTAAAATGAACTATAGGCTCTAGGCTGTGAAAGTAGAAAAGTTATTAATTTTTAATTATGTGTAATAAGCCCCATCTCTCTGTCCTTCACCCACCATCACTGCTATAGCATGATAAAGAGCAATTTCAGGAGCATCTAAGTAGCTTACAAAGCCTATACACAAGAGTTGCACAAATGTTGATCATATATACCCAACTTTCAAATGGAGTTTGTCAAAGAGATTTGCCTTGTGGGCAGTGGCAAAGTGATATGGTAAAGTGACTCAGATGAGTAAAGATATAAATCTCATCTACAATTTATAAAAGACATTAGACTTCACACATCTTATGTGTACACTCCAGGGATTTATATTGAGGGAGAGGACAGAGTAGACAATGTGAGTCAGATCAAGGAGGACACCGTGGGTCAACCAAAGGAGTTGAGATGCAGTTCAGTAGACAAGATGGCACCCATCGTAGACACCTTCTGATCTGGAAGAGCAGGACACTAACTGTGGGTCAGACACGCAATTTGCAGACAGGTTAAGTTCCACTATTTGTCCATATTGGATTTGGTAGCATAATAAACATATACTGCTTGTCCTGATATATAAAATTTTAAAATAATGTGTTGTCAACATTTCTTTGGTGACTTATTGAGAATAACAATTTTTAGGTTTAAAATCTTGGCCTTAACTAATGTTTTCCATTTCAGTTTGTGACTAAAGGGAGGTGAACAGGACTGATAAGCTTAAAAGAATTTAGAAGTAGTCTCTGAAACCTGTGGGGATCCACAGTGATGGTCATAAAGACCTGCATGATTCTCAGGTGGGAACTGGCAGGACTGGTTATTCTTAGCAAGACTTCCTTCCTTAATGCCTGCCTTCCTCCTTCCTCTTTCAAAAAAGAAAAGAAGTTGATAAACATACATTTACTGACCAGCTAAATTTGTACTCACCATTTTGGGGATAAGGCCAAAGAAATGCCCTACATGCTTGTTTCCCTCAAGAGTTTAGATTCTGGTTGCTGTTTCTCAACCCTGTTCACTCATTAGAATCAGTTGGGGAATGTTTTAAACATACCCATGAGTTTTTTGGTGGTTTATTTTGTAATTGTGCCTTGCACTGGATCAATTAAAGAAAAATCCATGTCTGTTCAGTCTAGGAATCTATCTTTTAAAATATGTCCAGGTGCTTCTAATATGCAGATAGTTTTAGGAAATAGTAAATGGTGAACTAGGACAAGATTTTAATCGACTATGAATGATGAGTGTGACCAAGTACAGCAGAAGAGGGAAGAAAAATGGAGGGAGCATGAAAAAGAAACCTTTCAATATGGGATGAAAGGTTTGGGAAGAATTTCATGGATAGGTTATGGACTAGAAATAATGAAGAATGCTTCCTGTTCATTTTGGACCCAAAATTATTTGCTGCATCCAAGAGAATATACTGTTTATTGTCTGTATTGTTGTTGTTATTTGCCATCGAGTCAGACCCAACTTATAGCGACCCCTCCTTGGGTTTCCAAGGCAGTATCACTATGGAAGTAGATTGCCCCATCTTCCTTCTGAGGAGTGGCTGGTGGGTTTGAACTGCCAGCCTTCTGGTTAGCAGTCAAATGCCTTAGGCACTACGCTACCAGAGCTCCTATTGTTTGTATAGTGGATACTAAATTCTAGTAGCTGTTTATAGAAGGGAATGGATAACACAGGGTGAAATAGGAAATTGAAAAAAACTGAACTAAAGCCTGGAGAATATACAGGAAGGAAGTGATATTTCCACATGTGAAGATAATTGAACATCACAGAATAAAAGTGGACCAAGAGCAGCATGTTGTTGGGTGCTATTGAGTCAGCTCTGACTCACAGCGACCCTGTGTACAACAGAATGAAACACTGCCCGGTCGTGCACCGTCCTCACAATCATTGCTCTACTGGAGCCCATTGTAGCAACCACTGTGTCAATCATCTCATTGAGGGTCTTTCCCTTTTTCACTGACCCTCCACTTTACCAAGCATATGAGGATGAATACTGAGTTAAAAAATAATAATAATTGAAAGAAGATGGTTCAGATTGGAAAGTAAAAGAAAATAAGAGTACAATTAGGGATCTGGTATCACAAGATCTCAACTCTCAGATGAAGTGTAACAAGCTTACCCCTTAAAAAAATGTCACTGAATGAATATTGTGTTTAGTAACATTGCTAGAGTGTGAAATCTAGATGTGGAGACTAGTTAGAAGGCCATGGTAGTGGTCCAAACAGTGGAGAGGGGACAATGGTAATGATAAACTAAACCAGGTGGATAGAGAAGGGTAAGACCGAGTACAGAGTTACATAATGAATACATAGCCAACAGGAATTAGTAACCAGACATTGAAGACCAAATCAAAGATCTTTAGCCCTCATTGATAAATATGCTCATGTTCAACAAGAAAATATTTAGGTCAGAATATTTGCATCAAGTGAGTAGTCTTGGGGAGGCAGATAAAAAGGGTGATGGTTTATTGGTTCTTTAGATTGTTCTGTGGAATTTAAATACAGAACACTGTTGTTGCCTTCAAGACAGCTTTAATAATCCTGTGTACAGAAATACTAAGCAAAACCAAATCCACTTCCCGTACAGTTAAGTCAGACTCATAGCAATCCTATAGGACAGAGTAAAACAGTTCTATAGGGTTTCCAAGGCTTTGATTTTCATGGAAACAAACTGTCACATCTTTCTCCCATGGAGCAGCTAATCTTTCTGTTAGCAACTGAGCACTTTTAACCACTGTGCCATCAGGGCTCCTCTTCAGAATACTAAAATGTACTAAGTCAGAATATCTTAGGATGAGGTCTGGATTTTATTATTATTATTATTTTGTCAAACAAACCTAGGTAGGGTACTCTATGCTGTCCTTCCTTGAGCACAATTAAG